AATCAGATTTTTTGTTTTTTGTTTTTGTTTTTGTTTTTGTGTTGACTTGTATAAGTTCTTTATGTATGTTGGGTATTAACTTCTTATTGGATATATTATTTGCAAATATCTTCTCCTATCAGTAGGTTGCCTTTCTGTTTTGTTGATGGTTTCCTTTGCTGTGCAAAGGCTTAATGTTATTTCTTTATCATCTAATATACAAATTTACAGGCTGATGATCTTTAAGATGGATATTTTAAAACCCAGCCTCTGAAAACAGCATTGGAAAATTAACATATGCATGCTATTTAATACTCTCTAAAATTATTGGGGTTACTATCCTCAAATATCATTTTTGTCATGTCTCATTTGAACTTCTGAAGTTTAAGTCCATCCAATGTCCATAAAAGTATAAGTGTAGGCTTTTAGACTTGAGTCTTTAACTGGCAAATGATCTAAACCATGTAAAACGGTGTTTCTTGATATGTGAGCTATGGAATAATAGTATCTAGGAATATTCATGCCTGTTAATTACTCACAAAAATTTCAGTTTTTACATAACTTGGGGAAATTCTGGATTAAACATATCTAAACAGGATTCTTTATTGAAATGCTGTATTATGCTAAAATGTTCCATGGCTCTAGATAGCATTCAGGCAATATTTTATCCAGTCCCTACTGTGTGCCAGGAATATCACCATGTTTTGCTTAAAGAGATGTCAACAAACCTGGCATGGTTTCTGTCCTCATAGAATTTTTAGAGTAATGGGAAGAAAGAGATTAAACAAATAAAGACATAAGTATGTAGATTGCAATAAATTATGTTGTGCCACAAAAGAATAAGATGTCATAAGAGTGAATGAGTACGAATTTAATTGGAAGACAGATTAAGAAAGACCAATAAGAAGTGAGATTCAAGCTGAAGCTAAAAGAAGTAAAAATTAGTCAGATAAAGAGGGGCATTTCAGGCAGAGTGAACAGCAAGCAAATCCAAAGCCTTGAGACAAAAGAAAGTTTGCTGCCTGAGAGGAAGAAATGGCCAATGTGGTTAGGGTAGAGTAAGCAAGAGGTCCAAGACGAAGCAAAAGAAATAACAAAAGGTAAATTCATACAGAATCTTAGAGGCCATAGAAAAGATGATTTTAAGTAAAAAGGATTTTGATGAGGGTACTACTTTAAAATAGTATTTTCCTGAAGAAAAATATAGTACTACATTCACCTTTCCCCAACAGTATTTGACCATAGAAACATTTTGATGAGATATTTCCTGGGAGCAGTATCTTTGGAAAACACACTGATAATACTTTTACAAATCCCACACTTTTTTTTTATCTTTTTTTTTTATTTATTTACTTATCAGAGAGAGAGAGGGAGAGAGCGCGAGCACAGGCAGACAGAATGGCAGGCAGAGGCAGAGGGAGAAGCAGGCTCCCCGCCGAGCAAGGAGCCCGATGTGGGACTCGATCCCAGAACACCGGGATCATGACCTGAGCCGAAGGCAGCTGCTTAACCAACTGAGCCACCCAGGTGTCCCACAAATCCCACTCTTAATCAAGGATTGTGTGCTCAGATTGTAAGTGTCACAAAACAATAGAAGAGACTTTACCAGTTCAGATATATTTATCAGTATCAGAAACATTTAGTATCAGAAACATCAATATCGGAAACATCCAGCCACCAACCTGGATGGATTTGGGACTCAAATGTTAATAGGACTCAGTTTCTTTTCATCTATCAGTCCTTCCTGTTCCTCTTTTTGGTTTCATTCTGAGGCCCCATAAAAATGACCTCAGAAGCTGTAGGATTTTCCACTGTGGTGGCAAAATGGCTGAATCATCTCCTTAAATGCATCCAGATTGTGAGCCAGTGGAAAAGGAGCCCTTTTCACGACATTCCCTGGATATCCACTTCTTCTTGCTACATCTCCCTGATGTACCCAGCTGGGAACCAGTCACCAAAGGAACCATAGTAATAGGATATGTTGAACTGTTTAGGCCTAGGTAATCTGCAGCCTTGACTGTTCAGATTGCAGATGTGACTCTAGGATGTATACTACTGGAGGGAGTGATGCTGGGGAGGTAAAGAGCAAAACTCCAGTATAGGCTTTTTTTTTTTTTTTAAGTTACTGTTTTAATTTATGTGGATAAATTCATGTTTGAAGTAATCATATTGTTTCTTGTTAGAAGTATAAAAAGGCAATACAATCAAGTTTCTAAAAGACCGTGAAAACAATGTGCTGTTTGTTGGTTCTGGGTGGTTATAGAAAGTAGAAAAATTATGGAAGAATGAAATAGGATACTTCTGCTATTATTACTACTAACAATTCACCTCTGTGACTTTCTTTCTTTTTCTTTTTTTTGGGGGGGTGTCCTCCTTATTTACATGAAAATTATTCTACCTAGAAAAGTGAATCACTATATAATGTTATATATTTCATTTAAATTATTGTCTGAGGCCATTCCATTGTGTGCTCTTTTTTTTTTTTTTAAGATTTTATTTATTTATTTGACAGACAGAGATCACACGTAGGCAGAGAGGCAGGCGGGTGGGGGGGGGAACAGATTTCCCGCTGAGCAGAGAGCCGGATGTGAGGCTCGATCCCAGGACCCTGAGATCATGACCTGAGCCGAAGGCAGAGGCTTTAACACACTGAGCCACCCAGGCACCCTCCACCATGTGCTTCTAAATACTATACCTTTCACTATAAGCACCTTCTTGCATGTGTGTGTATATACACATACATACACATACGCATACTGTGTATATGTGTGTATGTATAATATACAAACCTTTACAAAAATATAAATCTTGAGATTATAAAGGATGATTTTATGGTTAGATTCTCTAATCAAAATGTTCTCTAGAGAATTTTTAAGATAGTAATAACTATTGGAATTTATAAGAGGCAGTCCAACTTCTGAGCATGTAAAATAAATTTTAGGAGTATAAAAGGGAAAAAATGCTCTTCTCTGAGAAGATAATATGGCCTAAGTGATCAAAATAGACTGAGATAAACTGTGGAGACTGTATAAAAACTACAGGTCAGGGAAAAGCTATGACCCTTACAACATCAACTAGCAACATATTTTTAGTCTTACAGATGGTGGTTAACACTTCTGGTCATTTATGCTTTGTTCCTCATTTTATGACTGTTGTCTAAAAATAGTTGGGGCTGTAACAGGGCAGAGAGTGTCAGAGAGGACTTTGTGGGTAAAATGAGACTTTAGGGGATATTTTTAAAAGGGGGGTGTTGGAAGTGCAAGGTAGAGAATCCTAATAGAAAGTCAAAAAGAGAGGAAAAGTGTTCGGCAAATGGAATCCAATTGTTCTCACTTCGATAATAGGTCCTGTTATCCTCAAATCCCAAGAATGATCCCAGAGCAAATTCTTAAGGATTTCCAGATTGTTAGACAACCAAGGACAGATTGTATTTTCTGATTTTATTCTGGATATTTGTGTCCCTCTTAATTCCTCTCTCATCCTGGAGAAAGAATAGAACTAGATTTGCCTTTAGAAGTGAAGAGAAAATCAAGTATGCTTTTTAAAAAATAGTTCTTTTGAATTAGGCACCTAAATAAGCAGTTTCAAAGCTGGTGGGTTTTAAGCATAAATATTATATAAATGTACTTTCATACTTAGAAGCCATTGAGTATTAAAATTGTATATATTCATCATTTATCCTGTGACATTTCTTTTTTTGGTTCATGTACTTTTGTAAAAGTCCAAATTTACAACAGTTTATCCCTAAAATCTAAAGTATGCAAAAATTTTAGATTTAGGAATCTAAAGTATCTTTAGACTTTGTAAGTAAAGGGATTGATAAACAACTGATTGTCACATGGTTCCATGAAGTAAATAAAGCATCTTTGCAAATTCTATAAGAATTATTTTATTAATATAACTGCTGCAGTTACTTCCTTCCCTATACAAAATCCCATGCATAATGTTCTGGTAATATAATGCAGTGCTTTTAAGAATTAATATATATTAATTCAAGCCACACATATAAATAATGGTCTATTTTCTGAATGAGTCCTGAAAAAATTAAGTATTATGCCATGTTTATTATTTGTTTCAAATGATAGATTCTTGGGGAGCTGTCTGGGTTAATCGGTAAAGCATGCCATTCTTGATCTCAGGGAGTTCAAGCCCCATGTTGGGAGTAGAGATCATTTAAAATTTTAAAAGTTCCAGGCTCTGTGCTCCGGGTGGGGCGGGGGTTAGGGGGTCTGTTTGTATTTCTTTTTCTTCCTCTTCCTCTGCCCCTCCCCCCTCTCTAAAATAAATAATTCTTTAAAAAATTTTAAAAATTCAAATGATGGAGTCTAGCATTCTATATATGAAAGAATACTAACATTTATATATGTTTAATTAAGATTAAATTAGTGTAAAAATGTTTTTGTTTTGTTTTTAAATTTTTAAAGAAGATTTTTATTTATTTGATAGAGAGGACAAGCATCAGCAGGGGAAGGGCAGAGGGATAAGCAGACTCCCAGTTGAGGAGGGGAAACTTGATGTGGGACTCTACCCAGAACCCTGACTGAGATCACCACCTGAGCCAAAGTCAGAGGCTTAACTGACTGAGCCACCCAGGTGTCCATAAAAATGTTTTAAAACGGATACTAGCATATTAAAGGTTTGTCAATGCCATATGTTATAAATCATCAGATATTATTAAACTCCCATTAATGCTAAATTTTGAAAGAATTTTCCAGTTAGATTAATAACCATGAAGCTAGTTGTTTAGAAACATGGCTTATATTTTTTAGCTTTATTGAGGTATACTTGACAAATGGGCATTGTATATGTTTAAGATATGCAAATTGCTGTTTTAATACATGTGTGCATTATGAAATTAACACTACACTCAAACTAATTAGCATATCAACTACCTCACATACTTACCACTTTCTTCCTTTCTTCAGTGGTGTGAACATGTAAGATCTATTTTCTTGGCAAATTTTAAGTATATGATAGAGTTATTGTTAATTATGGTCATCATGTGGTATCTTTGCTTCTAGATTCCACATAAAAGTGAGCTCACTCCTTTGAAAGGACAGAAAGCACACACTTCAATTTGTTGTTGTTTTTCCTCATACTGAAATAAAGCACTGAAGCTCAAAATAGAGGTGAGAATGAAGTTTGGCTTCTTCTGCTATGCGCCCCCATCTCACAAGCCTGCCTGGATGTTTGAGGTGCCAGGGCCCTCCCTGCCAACTCGAAGAGGACTACTGTTTCCCGGGCTCCCAGCACAATGCTGGCTCCTTGTTTTTATACTCCTGGGCTGGGGGGTCGGCGGGGGCGGGGGGAACGGGGAAGGGGAGTGGACTGTCCGAAGAGATCCATTCTGTCGAGAAAGAAGAGCTGAGTTGCCAGGTGGGAGGGGAGAACTGGCAAGGAGCTCTTCATGGCAAACCAGGAATGAGGCGTTCTTGACTCTTCTCTTCCCTGGTGTGTCATGATCCAGGGAATGAAAAGAAATTTGACCCTGGATTATGACCCTCCTTGGATTTTCCTTCCACCATGTTCTCACACACTAGGACCAGCTGCCCATTCTGAGCTCAGAGCAGCCTCTCCAACCATTACTGACCTAACCTGACTTGTCAGGAAACCCATCCCACTCCCAACCTCCAGATCGGGCCTGGCTGCTCTATTCTGTACCAAGTACTGGAGAATAGTGTCAAGTTCTTAGTAGCCCTGGTAGCTTCTAGATTCCCTTCTTCTCCCTTCGGAGGTCAAACCAACTCTTCATCTGTAGCCACAACATGCATTTGCAGCAGCACAGTGAGATGTGACTGACGGGCTTTGAACCTGGTTGGCCTGGGAAAGCAGTAAGGGGGGGGGGATAGAGCTGTCTTTCCTTCTGGGCTTTCTCCATCTGTCCCTACCCTTTACATGCCCCACCCTACTCCCACCAAAAAGTAAAAAAATCAGGATGTTTTTCACTGTCCATTGCTTTGTGTTTTAATAAACAATTTGCAGTGAAAAAAAAAAATGATCTCACTCTGTCTTTCTCCGACTTTTCACTTACCACAATGCCCTCAGGATCCATCTATGTTGTTACAGGTGCCACATTATTTTTTTTTTAAGATTTTATTTATTTATTTGACACAGAGAGAGAGAGAGAGATCACAAGTAGGCAGAACAGCAGGCAGAGAGAGAGGGGGAAGCAGGCTTCCTGCTGAGCAGAGCCCGATGTGGGTCTCGATCCTGGTACTCTGCGATCATGACCCCAGCCAAAGGCAGAGACTTAACCCATTGAGCCACCCAGGCACCCCACAAGTGCCACATTATCTTATTAAAACAAACAAACTAGGAGAGGATTATATCAGATTATATTAGCTTTCTAGCTGATTTATATAATGGCTACCTTCGCATTAAAGTAGAACTCAAGAATTCCAATTTTTTTTTCTCTTAATTTATGTAACAATGTGGGTAGCCCAAAACACAGGTCCTGGGCTAGAACATTACGTTTAGCTCATATATAGGTAAGACAGAAAAGATATATCCTTGTCCAGTTTACCTTCCCTACATTTTAAGATTTTACATGGCATGTTCTATTCAGTTCTCTTCACAATTTCTGTGAGCTCCTGGGCCTGGGTTCTAATCTGTATCAGTCACAATGTAATTGATACCTCCTCCTTTCAGTAAACCTACCTTCTGTACACATGGAAATGGACTTAGCTTCCTATGATCCAGATCCCAGAGTCCTCAAGCTGGAGCTATGTTAGTGCCAAATCAAAGGAAACTCAGCAAAGGTAGAATAATGAACTTTACTTTCATGATTGCCACCTCCCATCCAGTCTCCAAATGCACTAAATAGTGCTATCTTATCACCAAAAACCACAAAAACCCAAACATAATTATTATAATTTCTAAGTGCTGATTTTTTTTCCTCTTCAACATCTACATTGTTCATTCCTTCCTCTCCATTTTTGCCATGTTCTCCTGTGATATCTTTCAAAAGTGTCCTCTTAATGGGATACTTAGTTTCTTAATATATGTACTAATAATAAGGAATTTATGAAGGAAAATGAATAACAAAGATAAATGATTAAAATCTATAATTAAAATCTCTTTCAGGTAGCAGTGTTGTCCCTAAGCTGAAAGCAAGTGAAAATCACAGTCATGTGCAGCAGCTACTTTTTCTGAAGTCAGATACCATCAGCAAGGTCTAACTAAGGTGGGAAAAGGCAGCTACTCTTATTGAAGAGTGCCCAGACCCAGACACAACTGTATCTTGTAGAGAAAGAACTGGATCATGAATGGTGATGGTGAACAAGAATATCCAGCTTTGTTTAGGAAGAAGGTAAGTCTTTAAGTCTAGAGACCTGGTCCTGATTTATTAATTTGCCATGTGATATTAGCTAAGGTCTTCACTTATCTGGGCTTCAGTTTTATTCATTTTTAAAATGTGTGTGTGTGTGTGTGTGTGTGTGTGATATTTCTGTTTTCTAAATTCACTTCTAAGTGCTAATTCTATAATCCATTAGGGTGAAGAGAGATAAAGGCACACGGATCAGATGAACACTTTTGAGAACCTACGAGCTGTATCAGTGGCAGTTGCTGTGGTGCTAAAATAAGTGAAGCAGAAGGGTTCTATGCCTGGGAATCAAGTGGCATCAACAACAATGGCAACCAGGATCGCCAAGAAATGATTCAGGGAGAAGGGAGCTCTCTCTCCCAAATATACATATCTCAATGTGAGAAGAGAGGTGGACAGAGTTGGAGAAACTAGAATTGCTCCTTCCTACCACTAACCTCTCCCATCAACAGATTGTAGCAAGGAGGAAACTGTCCTCAGTTACTGGACCAGCTGTGGACTCATTGGTCAAAGTGGATGAGCACAGTTTTTCCTCAGAGATTTGGATATGGCAAGTAAAAAGAAAGCAATTTTCCCCTCTTGAATGGCTAACCCTGTAACGTTTGGGAGATGTTAATGGGCATAACTTCCACCATAGGGCCAAGATAAGGGGAATCCACTAGAGAGGAAGAGAAAAGGATCAAGTGGAGGTTCAGAAAGGTGAAGATGAGAGACAAGAAGAGTCCTGCTGACTGTGAAGTTCCCCTTCCAGTTCCCGAGACCCCACAGCATTTTTGTCCTAGGATTCTATGAGACACTCCAGTGTTTTTTTGACTTACTATTAATGAATTGTTTTTTTCCTTAAATTAATTTGAATGAGTTCTGCCTCTTACCGGCTGATGGGAGCTGGAGTCAAATATATGTTTGACTGTAAGTTAAAGCTTTTAATACTTTCTGTGACTATTAGGGTATTTTTGTTGATGAATTGTTAGATAATAGGTATTAAACATAGATTATTTTCTTTAATGTCCCTTTTGGAGTAGGCAATAATATCCCTTTTGCAGAGATGAATAAACTGAAGTTTATAAGATTTTTCTAATTCACCCTGAGTTGGACAGCTATTAAGTGGCAAGAATGTTTTCAAACAGCCTTCCATTAGCTGGATTTCAACTTCAATCAGTTTAACCACAGGTTCTTGCCTTTAACCACTATTTCATAAGATTAGGTAAGATACGAGCTGCTACTGGGAAATCTGAGATAGAGAAAATGTACCAAATACTAACTTTCCTAAAACTTTCGAATTTCCCAGAAAAGGAAATCAATATGGTTCTGAGTCAGGAATGGAGATATGAGAAGAAAGTGGTCAGTGTTTAGGGAAGCCTGGTATCAAAGTTTATCTTGTTATGTCAGATTCTGTAATTCTAAAAATTGGAGACTTCATGGAATTGTTAAGGAAAGGAAATTATGTAAGAGTTAGTCATTTAGAAGTGAAGCCTGTGCATCTCTGGCTAGTATTTACCAGTGCCAGAGGTCAAAAACTACCACTTCAAGCATTAGTGGATTCCCCCTCAATGAATTTCTCCCAGGCTATAGGACCTTATAACTTTTTTCAAGTCCAGCAATGTTGCCTTCATACGTACTTTTAATCACAAACATTCAGTTGGCCACAAACACATTCCTGTCCAATTCCTTCATCTGTGTCTTCTAAAGAGTGAACTGAACTGTTAACTTCTTTTAAACAAAACGGAATAGTTGAAATGTCTGACTGCTTCCTATCAGTATAAAAATATGAATTTGTACAACATCTGCAACTCATTTCAGCTGGATTAAGCTTTACCCAAAGAAGGACAAAAAAAAAATGTTGTCTGTAACAAGGGAAGACTAATGTTCTCAATGGAAAGAAATGAATATACTCACAGATTTTAATGTTGGTTAACATAAATATGGCTTTAAAGATTAAATGAGAAACATCCTTTCTTTTATGATTAATCATATTTCCAGATGATCAGTAGTGTCCAGTCATAAAGACTGTAAAATTGTTAAGGAGTAGGATTTGAAGTATAATACAAAAATCAATAGCAATAACTATAAAATAGTTGATCAAACTTTATAAAATGTCATGCTGCTTCATAAGGAATGGTAAAAATATGCCTTTGAGGTCTTTTTTCATTGAAAGCCTTTGCAATCTTTCTCCATGAATGAACTAATCAGTATCTTTTCAACTGACCAAAGTTATATAACAATATTAAATAGATATAAAAAATTTTATAAGTACTCATAACCCACCACTGCAAGTCAACAACTCTCTCAAGCATGTGTGGTGCTGAAGCAGTTAAGGGAGTGAGGCTAGACCTCTCAGGGCTAATATATGGGCTGAGTCATGGATTCCATGGTCAATACTTTTTTTTAAAATTCATACCTGGGCATTCTCAGCCCACATAGAGACAATCAGTTTCTTAATAACCAATCAGTTTATCAAATTATTCAATAAGCCATTCAGGAAGCATGGCACAGAGGATGAGAGAAATGAATCAAGAACCAGCTGCTGTGTGTGAACCTTACTTAGCTCTCCCACTTGGGCATATGGTTTAACCATCATGAATCTTAACTTCTTGGTCGCTCAAATGGAGGAAATACTAATTCCAACCTTATAGGATTGTTATGAAAATAGGAAAAAATAATTAGAAAATCCTTAGGGCAGTGCCTGGTATTGTAGTAGCACTGTGTAATTGCTGAATATAAAAATGAAATCCATCAGTTTGTGCCAGAAATATTTATTGCATGCCTACCAAAGGTCAGGCACTGTGGCGTGCTCAAGATTGATAAGGTACCTGCCTCCATGGAATTTACATTCTAGATAGAGAAGGGAGACAATAAAAATGTAAGCAACTAAATAGATAAGATCATTTCAGATACTGATAATTCTCACACACACACACACACACACACACAGACACACACACTAAACTGGGTGATAAAAGGAGTAGATTTGAGATGGAGAGATGGGGAACAGGTTTGATTGGAGAAACTTTCTCTAATATTTGAGGTAGGGACTAAGGGAAGGGATAAAAAGGAGGGAGCCATGTGGAGCAAAGAGAAGAGAGCCAGAAGGATGAGGGAGAATAACCTAGTGCAGAGTTTTGACAGAGAAGAAGGGTGAGAACACAGTAAGAAGTTGGAGGGCCAGAGAAGGAGCTAATGATATGTGACCTAGAAGGTCATGCGAAGGAGTTTGATTTTATTTTTAATTTTAAAGAGAATTTATTTCCATTATGGTTCTTTTGGTTACAAGTGAAGAAATTTCACTTAAACAATAGAAAAAATGTTGCCTATAATCAAAACATATCCAAGAGATAAATCCGATCCATGCAGAACTGGATCATCCAGACCTTCAATAATGACTTCAGGAGGGTTTGTGTTTCTCCATACCAACACAGTTTTCAATAACTAGTGATAATACCTCAAAATAAGTCATTGTTCTGGATTGTCAGGAACTCATTTTGGAACCAATTACTTTGACTCTGATCTGCTGTGCCTGGGTGAATTGCCCACCTCTAGGGTCAGAGGGTGGGGTCAGTCTCACAGGAGCAATAGAGAGAGAATGGAGATGAGGGCTTTTCCATAGGACAATTATGTGCTTCTAGCAGAGCCAAAGTGTGATGGATTCTGAGCAGGTAAACACAGAAGACCTCTATCAGATATTTGACTGACATCCACTGAAATGTATTTCACCTCCATAATTCTTTATGTTTTGGTATCTATCTCCACTAGCATCTGTGGAGAAGGCAACTTTCCATCTGTCGTTGCAGGCAGGGGTCCATGCAGACTCCATCTTTTGGCTCCTAAGAGAAGTTGATCTTCTCTGGGATATTTCTGCATCCTTCTTGAGGACCAGAAAGACTTTCTGTTTCTCTTCAATACACAGAAACTTGGGGGAGGCACAACCAGACCTTCTGCCTAGACACTGTAGTGCTGTCTGTAGTTCTGACCACCCCTGGTGTGAGGATCACAGGTTTCCTGCCTCCTTAGGCTCCCCTCAGAGCCTGGGAACATATAATCTATCTTGTGATCCTACTAAATCCCTTTTGGAATTGAGACAATATGAAGAAGATGGCATGAGATGCTCCTTCAGCGAAGTATCCAACCTGTGTTCCACTGCTCTTTTGCAGGCTCTTCTTTTTCTGCCTCAGCTCTGACTTTTAAAAGCAACTTTAGGGTTGCTTTAAACCCTAAATTGGCTTATATGCATTCTTCTGAACTCTGTTGGTTATATACACCAATTTGAATTTCATTAAGAAAAAGCCAGGCTTCTGGAATTCAAAAATCCTTTATCATATCCTGTACCTTTTGCTTAGCATTTTTTAAAATTTTGTTTTGTTTTTTGAGAATTGACTTTTGCTTTTGAGTGTGACGTCCCTTTCCCAAGGCAGTGACCCTAATCCATACAGGCAGATGTCTAAATGTCTCTCTATTGATAAAACACTGTGTGCTCCAATTCTATTGTCAATCTTCCTGGGAGAATGATGGATATAAATGAACAGGGTTGGTGTTTCTGAACCCTGTTTTCCAGGTGACCACTTACCTTGTTTATATCTCTTCCTAAGACAGAATTTCCAGGAGCTCTTCCAATAAACAATATAAAATTCAGTTTTTGACTGTAATCAACAAAAATGTACACTGGCTATTTTAAGCAAAAGGGTTTACTTGGATCACATCTGGGGCTCAACAGATGGAATGGCATACAGCAGGAATTTAGGCAGCTTGGTCACCCCTAGGAATTTAGCCAGCTTGGTCACCCTTATTCTTTAGTGGTAAAGAATAACCTCTGGCCCTAACTCATATCCTTGCAACCTTTACTCAGGTACAGGAGAGAGCTTCTCATTGGCCTGGCTTAGTTCACATTCTACCCACTGCATGCACAGGGGCATGGAAAAAGGTTCACTGATCATGTGAAAAAAAAGCAGAAGCTATTTTCCAACCAAGACTATACATAATGGGGAAAGGAAAACTCCTAGAATGGAAATCAAGGTGGGGTTAGGAATGAGCAAAACTCCTGGGCAGGAAATATGACTTGGCCCACTGCCACAATTCTATGATTCTATATTTTATATAGAATATTGTCTAGGGCTGGAGATATCATTAAGGTACTATTAGAAAATACTATTATAGCCTGTTTGTAAAGATTAAAAACAGAAAAGCAATCCTCATCCAAAGTCTTCCATTAATAAAGAACTTTTTAGACTACTTATTTCATTCCTCTTCCTATGCAAAACACACTTTGAAAATGTATAGTTTTGTGTAGATCTAAACTGCAGTTCCGTGTCAACTTGCGCACAAATGCATTTCCATTAAATCTGGACAGCCTACATCCAATAGTGAGGAACATGTAGAACTCTGTTTCCCTAACTTTAATGATTTATTTAACAGAAGATCCCTTTAAATCTTAATTGGATATAGACCAACAAATCCATTCAGTCAGCTTAGTAACTACTAGATGGATATGTCATTGGATTGGCTGCATGTTTCTTGACGGGATTCAAGTTGTTTGGTTTCTTGTGTTTCAAGTTATATGGCTTTAAAAAAATTTAAAAAAGAATAGTTACGATTATAATCTTCAGTAATTATTGAATACTATCTTCTAGGAACTTCACTCAGCACTTTAAATGTGGTTTCCTTTAATCGTGATGACCACCTTATGAGGTTATATATTGTTATGTTTTGAG